ATTCTAAGACCCTAACAAGAAGTCGACTATTCTTTTTTTTTTGTTCAACAAGTTCTTCTTCATCAATACTTAATCGATAGACATACAAAGTTGTAGAGTACAACATATGAAAGCAATAAACACATAGAAGAGGATAGCAATAAGACTAAAAGACAGCGAATCCAAAGGAAGTCCCGGATGCGTCAAAATAGGCTTCAAGAGATAGGTTAAACGGTTTGAATCGTAGACAAAAACTGGAAGCTTCTTAAAAAGGGCTTAGAGTCGATTGCGAGCAAATCGATCTCCAATTCTTCTACCATCATCGGCAAAAGAACATCAATTGGTGTCTTAAAGGCTAAGCTTTTGTGAACACACTCCACATAAGTGGCTGTGATAGGTCTCTCCTTGACGGAGGAACTTATATAAACGTACACGAGTATAATCGAGCTCATTACGGGAAACAAGTACAACACTGGGCTAAGATCATCATGAAAACGACGGGAACAAATTATCCCGTTGTCCCTTCACCGGCGAGGAATAGGACTGAAAAATCTGCTACATACGCCTTGTAAAGTAGTAGTTTTTCCCAGCAAAGGGAGTAGGGTTGGACATGTCTATCTCTAGAGAAAGACAGTGGTAAAGATCTCTCCCATAGGGAGAAAAATAACTTGCCAAAAGCAATAAGTAATTGGTCGTGATCGACCCATCTAATCTGTTTGTGAAGCAAATAAAGATAACCTGACCCATCCTTAATTTTTCTCCTCTTGGGCCTAACCCAAATTCGAAAAGCCCAATGGGCCAAGCCCACCCGATTCATCCCAAATTTAGATTAAAAATCTTTTACCTCAGTGATCGAGAGAAGCTGGCGGCGGGCCGGCTCCGGTGGAGTCTCCGGCAATATCCAGGTCTGGTTGGAGTCTAGACTGATACCAATCTTCTCCGGAGGACTCGGCCGAACATCACCGGCAACTCATGGTTCGGTTGTTGTACGCGGTGTGAAGAGATCTGAGTCGGGTTCAGGGATTCACGACAGTCCGGCGGGTCCAGTGGGTTCGACTGACGAGACGCAGACGAAGCCGGATCTGGCCATGGTAGTAAGGTCATTAGTTGTACTGTTGTTTCCAATCCAGAGATTGTCCCGATCGGGTCTTGGGTGTGGCTAAATCGGAAGTACAGAGGATTCTTCTCTTGGAAAGAGAGAGATGTTTGCAAGATTCTCGCCGGGGAGATCTTCCCACAGTTCTGAGCGCAACTTGTCTTCCCCTTTTTCGGTTCGGCGGCGGTGGTCTCATAGGAGTCCATAGAGCAGGTACTGAAGCCATGGATGAGTTCAAACGCCGGCTGAGAGAGAGAGAAGGTCTCAGGGAAGGCGGAAGAGGACAATCGCCGGTGACAAGAACCTCATAATCTCTGGCAGCGGCACCTCGGTAATCGGGCCTGAGAGGTTTTCTCTAGGGCGAATTCATATACTCATATCTATGTTACGAAGTCGACTATTCACAACCCAAACTTAACTGCTGGAGCAATCTCCACAATTCTTGATCCATATCCCGTTAAACCGCAATGCAAGAGAGAGTAATAACTAATCAGCAGATCAACAAGCTTTGAGAAGAAATTAGGAAAAATTACATCTATAGGCACTTTCCCAAACAAACCTTACAAACAAAGGTACTTTGCAAAGAAGAGTGACTTTTGCACAAGATTCAAAATTTTCGGACAAATATACCATGTGGGAAGGATAAATATGTTTTGCTTCTTAGTTGGGTATTGTTTAATCTCAGCCTTCGATTTTCATTAAAATCTGACGGTTCAGATAGAAGATGTCTATTGTTAGTAGATGTTTATGTTACGATCTCAAC